TTCTCATCTTCTTGTAAATATACATTGAATCCCTCCCACACAAATGGGATAAGTCTGTCCACTAGAAAACTGCTCAATTCTTCAAAAAAACCAGATTTCTCCTCCTCCACTGCTGGACCGTAGACATTGATGAAACCACCCCGAATCAATACTCCGAAGTTTACCGAAAGTAGCTATGAATCTCCTGCTAACAAACTGATTCTCCAGCTCAAAAACATTGTCATCCCAACAACACAACAGGCCCCCCGCTGATCCAACTGAAGGAGATTCCAAATTCCTTTAGTTTATTAATTCCACTTCTCCTAAAAAAGACTTCCTAAATTTCTCAGTCTTAGTTTCTTGCAGCCAAAGAAAGTAGGATTAAGTTGGAGACTAAATTCTGAACAGCCCTCTTTTTCCTCGTTTTTCCCCAAACCCTAACTTCCATGAACATATTACTAGCTTGTCATCATCAAAAAGGAAATAGTGCGACACACTCCTCAATCAACCAATCCATTATTAACCCCATTTACGCCTTCTCTAAAGCTATGATTTTATCCAAAAAGGCTTCTTTCCCTTCCTTAAAGACACCCCCAAAAGCTTGCTAACCTCCCAAGTTTCCACCGCTTCTTTCAACAATCGAAAAGCCAGGAGGATGCTGTATCAATGCTCACCTTGTCTAGGGCTTCACGATACAGGATCCTTTTAGTTCTTCTCTTCCTTCTAATCAGCAAACCAGATTTGGACTTTAAGCAATCACCTCTGAAAAGTAACCTTCAATCTCCCCTTCCTACACTCCCACCCCCATATCCATTGTCAAGATAAGGATCAAGACTCCCCTCAGCAATGTTCTCTGCTGATAAACAGAACTGAATATTAGTACTGAATCAACATCTAGCTCCCTCTGCTTAACTACGGCACCCCCTGTTTCAGACGAGATGTTCAACAAATCCCCATACCAGTATCTTCTTTCCCTCGACCTGTTGTAAACCCTTTACAATTGCTCAGACTTCTAGTTTCCAGCACATTACTCTCTGTTGTAAACTCCCTTCTAGAGCGAAGTAACTGCCTCCCCCTTGAGTTGTTATTTGAAACCTGTTCCAATGGTCTTAAATTTTCTTCTTCGGGGTCTATCTCTACACTAAATGGCTTCTCTACAATTGGACTCGATTCCAATACCTTGGACACTCCCTGCTTTTTCCTGATAAATGATGTTTTCAACCAATTCCCCAAACTTATTAATTGTATATGCTGGCCCAGAAATAAAACCCGAAAAGTATTTGACCCAGACTGCCAGAATCTTCAGAATGGGCCTGAGATCCATCAGCCGAATAATTTTGACTTCTAATCCCCAAACCTGCATACTCACCAACTTTAAACTTTCCAACAGTCTGACTTCTGACAGACCACATTTACTATCTTTCCATCTAAGGAAGTCTTGCTAGCTGTCTGTACCTCACTAGCTCCTCCAGAAACACGAAACACTCCCTGGTCAATCCAATGTCCGACAAACGTTTTCCCCTTCTGCGCAAGTCTCACCTTCCCCATGAACTGACAACAATCTGTCTTCATCCTTCTCAGACATCCTCTCTTCAAAAAATATCTCACCGGAATCCTCCACCGGAAATTACTGAAAAACGAACTAGAATATTCACTAGCTGATCCAATCTTGATACTTACTTTGTATGATCTCCATACGATCCAAGAGTATAACCTCTGGAACATCAAAAGGACTTTCCACCTTCAATAAGATTCTTGCCATTGAGATCTTCTCTTTTCCTTGTATTATCATGGATATCTACCACACTGCCCCTCTACCAGCCAACTTCTCGAAGAAGGGTCATTCCAGCATAACAAAGGAACACCTTAATTCCGCCATGCAGAAGGCCATTGGTACCCCGGCTTCATTCAGTAAAGGTTCCACTCGCTCGAACCACTGTTTTAAAACTTCTTCCTTCTACTCCATAACTCCACATCTCCTCATGAGATTTAAGAACTATCACACAAGAATTCCAGACATAGCCCATCTCGCAATTTGAACATCATGGCCTTCTTTTAATAATGCCGTCCGAATGAACTCCACTTGAAAGAGTATTTGATAATCCCTGTTAACGACCTCTTCACCCAGTTGGCGCTGTCTGTTGGGATATGCATCTCAAATATATTTCCCTTGACATTCCTCCTCTGGATATCCTCAGACATTAGATCATTGTTCCCCCTTCTATTCCCATTAGACAACAGAGCATCCCTATAAGATCTATCATCCCTCCTACTTCTATTAATATTCTCTATCTCTGATTTTGAAGATTCGCATTAATCTGACCAGCATCATTGTTTGAAGAAGAGCACACCCTTGACCTTGAACGTTCATCCTTAAATCTGGCAGGACTAACTGAGATCTTCCTTCCATCAATCACAATCCCGTTTAACTCCTCAACAGCCCTCTTCAGATCCTCCTCCCTCTTAAATGAACAAGGCAAAAGTAGAGAACTTGTATTTTGGATTTCTAGTTTGGCTGGGAATAAAGACTCTCGTAACAGGACCATGAACTAAGAATAATCCCTAAGCGTACGATGGGACCCTTTTACTTAGATTATCGATAAACGCCGACCACACTCAACCGGAACTGACTTTCCTTTCAAATTCTCTCTCTCTACGTTTTCTCTCTCTCCTCTTCCATCTCTATTGTAGGAAGAATTTTATGCAGCTCAATACATCATAATAAATGACGATGATACATATGATATTCAATCAAGTCTAAACATATAATTCCATTTTTCAAGTTCATAATGTTTAGAAAATTTTATTAATTGTAGCCAAACAACTAGAAGCAATAAGCACAAGATTGAATAAACAAGTCAACTATCATTTGATAAAGAGATACTAAAAAAATAAAAGGAGTAAAGAGAAAAAGAAAACTAAGTTGTGCTTGAGTCTTAATGTTTCTCTGAATTCTCCTTAGGTCTTTTTAGTTTTTGTGATGGATTCTCTTCATAAACTTAGGTTTATTGTACTTAATAGGCTTATTTTGTGCCCTAGAAGCCCTAAAAACAAGTGTAATTTGTTGCAAGGTAGTTTAATTGGCCCAGGCTGCAGCACTGAGCTTGCTGTAATTTTGTGCTGCAGCACCAGCTCTTTAAGGTGGTTTTGCCCATTTTGATGCCATTTTTCTGATTTCTGTTTTCTTGCGGAAAAGATTTCTAACTGATTTTAACGTATAAAATAAATTAATTAATTTTTAATTATAAAATAAATATGAATGTAATATAAAGGAAACACTAATAAAGTACTACTACGACACAAAAGGTTAAGCTCAGCTAATTTTAATCTATGTTACCTCCCGGACTCTGCTGTTTGGGTGCCGTTCTGGTGTTGACATGATCTGACATGGATATGGGTCAGATCTGGAGAAACTGCACTGACGGTGGGTGAAATTGAGGGTTAGGAAAAGAAAAAGAAAACAGAAGCACAATGGAGAAAAAAAGGTCTGATGGGGGAAAAAGAGTATTAAAATAATAATATTCATATGCCAAATATATTAAAGCATAAATATACTAAAATAATATATGTAATAATAAAATAATTATCAAAGTATTATCTATATTAAAATAATGTATATTCATATGCCCAAATACCATTGTCCAAACTCGGACAATGTCCCTGTGTCTGGAATTCTAGACTTGATTATTGGATCCTTATTTTGCTGACACCCGTGTCCCAAGTCTAGGTGACTTGGGTTTTAATACACCAAATGAGACAAAAATAACTGTTTCATTGAGGTATCAGTATTCTTGTTTTTGCCACAACTTTTGGTTTGAAGGCGCCAAGGTGGTGTGAATTGTGACAATCTGGTTACATGCATGTGTATGTGCATGATACTTATTACTGTGTTTTGTATGACTTTCATCTTGATACCAGAGATGATATTATGTTGATTGTTGATTTTGTGTTTAACTGTAAATGTAGGCTATGGCAGGAGCAAGTGAATCGGTTTTTTAGTTTAGAGTTAATGGAGCGGTCCTGGTCTCAATTTATGCAGCTTGAGGTATGCGATGGGTGTCTAATGAGTAAAGTTGAGGCAGGATTTTTTTTTTTGCTCTGTGTTGTAACTTGGGATTAGTTACCGTCTTCTTTTTCCCAAGAAATTAAATAGAATGCCTATCTAGTAATGTATTCATGTTATGATCATGAAAAGAATTACATTTTACAATGAATTTGGTTGTTCTCTTATTTGTTGTTTCCTAATCCTTTTAGTAAAACATTGCTTCACTTTTTATGTATTTGCGAACTCAAGAGTGTTTTTGTGTTGGTATGTGATTTATATTTTTTAAGCTTGAAGTTGATTTGATTTCTTATGAACTTCACACACAGGAGTATGGAAAAGCATCATTCTTTACGTGTGAAGAAGTAGATATGGTCTTGTCTGAAGTCGCAAAGATTGAGAAGTGGAAGCAATGCTGCAGGGATGCTATAAGAAACTTTGTTGGAGATGAGAGCTCAACGCTCTGTGCCTTGCAGAAGGTTTAGTCTATAATCCTTTCTGTATTCCAAACTTTGATTTCTTATTAGGAACCTTTAAGAATCTTTTCTGGTTTTCTCCAGATCAAAGAATCCCTAGATAGATCGTTGTACGTATACGAAAAGTCTAAGAGCTGTGAAGGAGTATGTCTCTACATGTGCTGTATAAATGGTTCTGAGGATTGGGATTTTGTAACATGTTCAGCATGCAAGGACTGGTAAGGTCATTGTTTGGTGTTATGAGTTTTCCAGTTCTTTTGTTTCTAATTTTTTTCAAGTTTCGAGTTTTATATAAGTATGATTCAAGTTCTCTCCTTCTTTTGCATGCTTTGTAATTGATATCTCTGTTCTCATCCTATTGGTGTCTTCTTTATGAGCAGCTACCATTTGCTGTGTCTGGGATATAGAAATAATCCAGAAGAAGTATATACATGCTCATATTGTAAGCTTCTTGCTGGTGGATTAATACCTCCCAACAGAGGTGCTTCCTGGTATGCATTTACTTTTGAATGATCTTTTAGTAGAACCTTGTATGTCTATTAACTACTTCTCACTTTTCACAGGGACTTAATGGAAAGTATTCAGACTTGGAGCTTCTCTCTAATCTTGTATCTGTGGATGAAAACCTTTGTGTAAGGTATACAAGTGAATTTAAATGCTATTTTGTGGTGTCTGCCTGTCTGGTATTCTGTGTTTAATTTTCAATATGTTTTAAATTTTAATACACTATTGCCTTTTCATCTCTGCAAAAAAAAAAAAATCACAATGATAAATTATGTAATTGGGTTTCATGTCCGTCGGTTAAAAAAAAATTGAAGTGATAATTTAAATGCTTTAAAATATAAATTAAACAAAGGAGTTGCTAGGAACCCTTGTTCCATGTTCAATTGAGGTATTGTGTTCCTATTTTTAGAGTTCTGGAAAATAGAGTTGGCATGTAACGAATATCTTCTTGTGTCACTTTCACCTGAAACTGATTGTCATTTGTCAGTTGCTAGAACCCTTGTTCCATGTTCAATTGAGGTATTGTGTTCCTATTTTTAGAGTTCTGAAAAATAGAGTTGGCATGTAACGAATATCTTCTTGTGTCACTTTCACCTGAAACTGATTATCATTTGTCAGTTGCTATTTATGTTGAATGTTTAGCGTAAACTGACCGCCCTTATCCTTCTATACTTTTTGCAGAACATGAATGTTGATATTTCTGCAATAAAAATATATAAACAATTTTTTACTTGCTTTTATCAACCATTTTGATAGATTTCTGTAATTTCTGAACAAAAAATTGGTTTCCTTGGGTAATGTTGCAGGATTGACGAAAGAGTATATTACAACAAATTGTGGACCAAGCGTATGCTTGCAGAAAGTGTTTGACAGAGATAGTGGACTTTGAAATTTCTTGCTATGATAAAGATCAGCTCACTTATTATGTCAGTAAGAAACTTACAACTGCTTTGAAGGTACCCTTTTTCTTCCACTTTTCCTCACCCTTTTATCATTCATATATTTTTGCTATTAAGACTATTTTTTGGACATGAAATGATGTTTGCTGGCAATGGTGTTGTCGCTCTGCCAAAATGCAGTAGCTATCCAAGTTAATTTGATTTCTTGGTACAGGCCATTGGAGTGTCAGGTGTGTATGATCATCAAAGTTATTGTGATCTTGAGCGGGCATTGGCAAGATGCTCATGGAGATTCCGAGTTGCTAGATTGTTAGATGCTTTAGAGAAGGGTTTAGAGAAGCCTTCAATCCAACAGATTGACTGGCACCTGAAAGAGGTATATGCTACTGGATATAGAGTTACTTATATGAATTTTTCAAGCCCATTGCAGTCGGATACTTTTGATTAAAAGCTCTGGTCCTCGGTGATTGACATAATTTCCACCTCTAATTATTTACTTGTGTTGAGATATGAAATGAACACATCAACAATCCATAGTTATAAAGTTCCAGGTGGTATCTAATATGAGTTGTTAGATCTCCTTATCTGCTCACTGCTGATTCTTTTAACGCTCATGAAGATGTCAACCTGCATTTTCTTCTTATCAAGATCCTTGTTGATTAACCATTGCAAATTCACACATTTCATTAGATATCGCTATTTGGTCAGTTAGCCTTTTAGAACCAATGAACAAATTATCTAGCCTGATACCTGTACAAACTGTCAAAAGTGAAAGAACTGATAATGTTTGGAGAAATATCACAGGACTTTGTTTTGTTACATCCATTTTTCCTTTCAACAGAACTATGGTTATCGGCTTTTCTGGATGTGTACGTCTTTGTATCATGAATGCATTTTCATTTGCATGTTGTGCATCTAAAGATAGTTTTCTGATAGGGAAATGCAATGAACATTTTACCTGAAGATTACTTCAGATTGAAGCTTTCAGAATTGAAGGACATTGGATTGCAGTGGGCTGGTCGTGCCGACAAGGTCAGGATCCTTTTTGCATGTGTACGCGACTTCCGAGTAACTTTGTCATGACCCTTCACTTAACTCATCTTTTCCTTTAACAGGTTGCAGCTGATTCTGGGGCACTCGGTTAGATGGAGTTTATGAACTTATCACAGAGGGGGAAAGTTTGCCAGTTTGCTTGAGGAACGAACTTGAGGTATCGAATTGCATCTTTACAACCAAGTATGTTTGTGACTTTTTTTTTTTAAAAACAAAAGATAACAAAAGTTGGTTAATTCAGGTATTAAGAGTCCGAAGTATGCTTCATTGCATTTGCCGAAAGCCGTATGAAAAGAAAACCATGATTGTTGCAGTCAGTGTGAGGAGTGGTACCATGTGAGATGCGTTAAATTAACCTTCACACCAAAGGTTTATATCTGTGCGGCTTGTATGCCTGGGAGTAAACACCTGGTGTCTTCTTTGGACTCCTCATTGGATCATGAGAGGTAATGTCAATGGAACACTGTTTTCTATCGGGGCATAAGCCTTCAAGTTCTTTCTTAAAATAATTGTTCTTGTTTTAATGCTTTGGCAGATACATGGACTCCAAATTTGTGGAGCCGAAAACCCCGTCTCCGCGACATAAAAAACCGGGAATGGGACCGAAGAAACCTGAGTCACAGAGAACATCGGCAGTTAGAAAGAAAAGTGGTATATTTGTTCAACTAGATGGTTTGAGTTGGCAAAACCGGAAGCCTTTTAGGAGAGCAGCGAAAAAGCGTGCAGAGCTTCATAGTCTACATTTTTGCATAGACCACATTGTTAGCAGTTAGCAATAATGAAGCATTTCAGTAATTCAATTGATTCTTGTGGCCTAATCCCTTTTGTACATTTGTTCAGCCCAATAATCAATAATCTGCATTTTTAATTATTGGTTCTAATGTATCCAAGTTGAACGTGGATATGATGCAAATGTTAAAAACCAAGAACCCCCTGAACTTTTGAATCTCAGTTGATAAGAAAGGTTTTAATAGTGTCTATAAATTAATACTACTAATATTTTTTTAATTCTAGAAAAGTGCGGGTGCTTTTTGTCATCACTTGCTACCTACATTGTCCTGCATGGTTAAGGGTTTGTTCAATCAAAATGTGCATATGGATGGTACACTTATTTTTCTTGATTATTTGGTCGGGCTGGAAAAATTGAACTAACCTATATATCTCTCATTTTCTCTATTTACTTTTTAAATTAAAATAATTTATTTTTATGTATGAGGATGAAGATTGATTATCCTCATCATTTTTTATCACTTATTTTCCGTTATTTTTCTTTTTCATATAATCAAACAAGCTTGAAGGTGTATAACTAAAATGTACAACGGATTTTTTTCCCAATTTTATTTTTAATAAATTGCTTTTTTTGGGAAAAATCCTAATGCATTTTATTGAGTTTTAAAATATTACAAAAGAAAAACGATATGTAATTCTAATATAAACAAAAGTCCAATGGTAATACAAAGGAAAGAAACAATAATGGTATGACTACTGGATTACAAGAAAATGAATGTTTCAATTGGAATGTTGCTAATATGTTCCGGTAGGAAACAACTATGTCTATTTTATGTCCTACTTGGTGATCCAATAGTTTTAGGCTACAATTGTATTGCTTGCCCTTAAATTATACATATCTCTTGTTTGTTTCACGTTTTAACCTGATTTTGTGGGCTGCCTTGCTTGTACATAAGAAAGTAAACAGGATTAGAAGCTTTTGTACTGTATTGTAAATATATGCTGCCGTGGCTGCAGGTAAGCATGAGCCCTTGTGAATTGGTGAACAGAACTCCATATACGGTTGATATTTGCAAATAGCATCTGCAATTACCTGGGAATCACGTTTTTATCTTGGGGGAAACTTATTTGATATGTTTTAGCTTATCTTAGGTTCGTTTCGAGATATCATGCTTGTCGGGTTCTTATTTATTTAACCACGAGGAGGATCGCTTCATATTTGTACATATTTGTAGCCATTAAGGTTGTGGTCTAATTGATTTCCCCAAATTTTAGTATGAAGACAAATGTACTTTTCAGGTAAGGTACTTCTAAAATGCAGGGCAGTCTAACCCATCATTAGGAGATGAGGAAATATAAACAGAGAGAGAATAGTCTTTTATTCATAAAAAGTATATCCAAGTTTATCGAGTCTCTGAGGTGTTCAGGTAACCTCCTCCAGTCATAGAATTCAGGCCAACAGTTTCTTATATCCTTCTGCAAATAGAAATAGCAACCATTAGAAGTTTTCACACCCACCACACAGACAGTTTATAGTTTATAAATCAATACAAATCTTATGATCTTTGTGTAATTTAAGTTGGAATATAGTAGATAAACAAATGATATAAAAAAAAAATGGCAGAGAATGCCATAAGCAGGCCTTACCTCAATGCTAAGAGGAGAAGTAGTGGGAGAATATCGATCGACGACATTTCCCTCCTTATCAACCAGGAACTTGGAGAAATTCCACTTGATGCTGTCCCCGAAAAGTCCACCTTTGCTAGGCTTCAGGAATTTGTCTATGGGAGCAGCCTTTTCACCATTCACATCGACCTGTAATCAAATAACACGATAATGTCGGTTATATAATAACAATTCCAAGGAGAAGGCAAGAACATCTGATACTATAAAACTTAACAGAAGATACTATTGAATTCATGATTTCACCAAAGCATAAAAAAGGCTAGCACAACACCACCATTATCACCGAGGCAAACAGAATAAAGAGTTTTGAGACTGACTAACCCAAAGGGTTCAATTTTGAGATGACTCTATAGTGTTTGTCCTATTCTTAGTTCAACTGTGGAGTCCGTTTATATCTTTGACCGTCAACACTATTAAGTATAAAGCTAGGGTGAAAGCTTTGCAAGTAGTCTATGGTCTCGAAGTTCCCAAAAACATTTAAAGTAATACAACAACCCGTACTTCCATCATAGAGCCAAATGGTATACCTGATCAAATATGGGGTATTCGGCTTTAAAGCGAGTGCAAGCAAACTCTAAGATTTGCTCATTGTTCCCAGGCTCCTGACCTCCAAACTGGTTACATGGAAATGCAAGAATCTCAAAACTTGAACAAGACAGTACCAAGTAAAACAGCATAAAGAGTTAGGAGAGAAATAACAAATCAATTGATCAAATTACTTTTAGCCATGTAAACATTCCAGGTAAAACATGATACAGATACAGACCACACACAAGTAGGAAGGCAAAAAGATACCAAAAGTTTGAAACAAACCTTGATCTTATATTTCTCATACAATTTACTCAGCTCAGTGTAGTTGGAATTGGTCAAGCCATTTCATCAACATTGAAGTAGCAAATCAAAAACTGTCCAGGAACCAGCAGTTAAAAAAAGAAGAAGGCCAAGTGCAGCATCATAATTTATCAAAAGTAGTCTGAGTTGAGTCGATTATAAGGTATACATGTAATGTAATGAAAAAGTCTATTCTGTTTGAAAATTGGTTATAAGGGTACCATTGAGATGCAACATTGACAATCAACAGGACCTTGCCCTTCTAAATGCCTAAACTAACGTCATTTCCTCTTGCATCCTGAAGAGCCAAAATACAAAAACAAAACCCATATCTTAGAAAAACTAACTAAATAAAAGAAAGATTAAAATTCATCCATGGAGGATAGATTTGACCCCAAAGCCAACCTTAACAGTGAAGTCATAAATGGATCCCTTGGAGGATTGACTGGCCATTGTATGATCAAATTCAAATCGGAAACAAACATGAGAAACTGGCGAAATCTAACTCGAACTCGAACGGAGTTTGCTTGGAACTCAGTAAAAGAGAAGCAGAACAATTAGATTAAGATTTCTTCAAACGAGCACAATACAAATAAAATATAAAACTGTGGAGCCTTCTTTATAGGATTTGTGAGTTTCAAATTAAGGTCAAATTGTCGTGTGGGTATCGCGTTTCTTCTACTGTTGGAATTTACACGTGGACTTCTCACCTGTTTACACGTGAGATAGCTGGGAATATTTGCAACAGGAACGTCATGAGGTGAATTGCTTGGGTTAATGCCTCTTTGGTCCCTGTTCTATAACTAATTTATTATTTTAGTAACTATACAAATTTTTTTATCAATTTACCCTATGGACGATCATTTTTTTATAAATGTTATTTTATTGTGTATTTCAATAATTAATTCCCGAATTTGACTATTACCTAAAAGAAGCAATTTTCTCAGCGTAAAAGATTTTCTTGATTTAGGGTTTTATATGCTGGAGTCAACACTCTGTCGACAACAGTGATTATCATTAGTGTTCTGATGATAAGTGCTTTATTTAATTATTATTTTACTTTTAAATTTCTCTGTAATCATTGATTTTTGTGGTTTATTTGCTCGTTTTGATTCATTTTCTGTCTAGTATGCTAGATTCTGTAAATTGCACTAAAAGAACATAATTCTACAGTTTTTTTATTTTCGAAATCAAACTGGATTAGTGGGCATGAATTTGGGCATGAAACATCTGACGAGACGATGATGTCAACACCTTCTAGAAGGTCCAGTCAGCACTTCTAGAAGAACGAATGGATCAACCGCACGTTTCTGCAATTCGAATTTGAATTAAAGTCAAGTTTTAGGATATTATTTTTTATCTTATCTTTGTTTTAGGTATTTTAGTTTAAATAGTTTTAAGAATTTTAATTAGGATTTATTTATTTACTTTAGGAATTATCTTTAGCTTGTTTTTAGGATTTTGAAGGTTATAAATACCATCTCAGGGGTAAGCCTAGAAACATATATTTCACATCTAAGAATTTACTCTTCTTATTCTCTAGCTTTATCAAATTTTCTATTCTATTTCTTTCTAGTTTTCAAAATTCCTTTATTTATTTTACGGTTCTGTTTTCAATATGCTAAGTATGACTTTGGTCATGTTTAGCTAATTTTCTTTTAAGCCGAAGGCTAAAGCGAAGGCTCAATTCCAAACGTGAGAATTGTAAGGCACTAAAATCGCTTCAGATTTTTCTCTCTATTTTTGGGCTTATTTTCAAATCAAAATGATTTTCAAAACCAAAAACTGGCGTTGGTTGGATGTTGTTATGGTTAACGTGGGAAGAAGGATTGGCTTTTTGAAGCACATTCGACTTCCTGTGAACACATAGCAAAATTATTTGCTAAGAGGAAACTGAGATCAGAATCAGTTTTTGAAACAACATAATCCGAGTCGGCATCTTTTCGAACTTCAACGTTTTAAGATCTACAACATTGTTGTTGCTTAGATCAACTCACAAACCGAAATTTAAGAGTGCACTTGGATATTCGATACATAAGCATAGTCACAAGGAATTGTCCTTGTAGAGAAGTAGTCGACGTGAATCTTGAAGTAAAGATCTATTTCGATGATTTGAGGAATTTGAGGTAAAGCTAAAGTCTGAGGTTGTTTTTACCATAAGTTTTCTTATCTCAATTTATTTATTTGTTTATTTAATTTTTATCTCATTATACTTCTTTAAACAATTTAAAACTCCCCTTTTTATCTTTATCATTATCTTATAATATTATTTATTATTTTATTATTTTCCCTTTTAAACATATTATAATTATTTATTTTATTTTATCTTTTTCTTCATATGAAATTCTATCTTTTTCTAATAAAAAAAGTTCACTAAAATAGAAACACCACAGTCTCTATGGATCGACCCTGCTTCTCTATAATACTCTTTCTTTTTACTTATTAAGAGGCCGAAATTATTTTGATAGCAAAACGACAGATTTAAAATTGGCGCCGTTGCCGGGACTAACGACAAGTACTGATTTATTTCTTTTTTTTATTTATGACCAGAAGAAACCCAAGTGAATTAGAAGATCTAGACTCGGAGATCGAATCACGAGCACTAAAAATCCACGCACAAACTCTTCGAGAGAAAAAGAAAAAGACAAGAAGAAATAGCAGTGTTCAGAAACCAAATCAAATCTGGAAACAAACTCTAAAGCATATGCATATAACGAAGATCAAATCCTGATGGAAGAAGAAGAATAATAAACGATTCGAGAGCTAGCCGCAACTCCTGTCACTCAGATACCATTATGTATCAATTTTCCTAGTGGCGGGACTCCATTTCAATTAAAGACATGACCTATTCATCTTCTTCCCACGTTCCACGGCTTTCCCACTGAAGATCTGCACAAACACTTGTTGGAGTTCCACTTGGTTTCCACTAGAATGAAATCACAGGGAGTTAGTAAAGATCAAATTAAATTGAGAGCTTTCTCTTTCTCTATAGCCTACTTGGCTAAAGATTGGTTATTTTATTTACCTCCAAATTCAGTTAATTCATGGGCTGACATGAGTCGAATTTTTATTGACAGGTTCTTTCTAACTGCTAAAGCAAGTGAGTTACGAAGGAGCATTCTTTCCATTCGGTAAAAATCGAAGAAAGTCTCTATTGGGAACGATTTAAAAAGCTTTGTGCACGATGTTCGCAACACAGATTAAATGAGAAAAATTATACTTCAATACTTTTATGAAGGTCTTTTATTATGGAAATGAAAATGGCAGATGACGTCAACGGAGGAGCATTAGCCAACATAGCAGGAGAATTGATTTCAATCATGGCAGCCAACTCTCGACAGTTTTCAAGTGAACTCAGCCGACGGGTTCACGAGATAAGTATATCTTCCATTGAAAATAAATTAGATAAATTAACTGAAATAGTTAATTCCCTTATTGCAGGAAATCTGGGGTAACAAGAGATGTGGGATATGCACGAAGTTGCACCATCCGACGGACTGTTACCCGATGATATAAGAAGGAGGCAATGCAGAAATAAATGTCCTATGAAACTTTACAGGTCCTCCACATAAACCATACAATCCATATAGTAATATTTATAATCCGGGATGGCGAGACCACCTAATCAGCTATGCGCCAAATCAAAGGCCAACTTTTAAACCAAGGCCTCCTCATCAACAACAAACGTAAAAGACATCGTTGGAGGAAATAATGGAAAAGTTTACAATTTCCCAAGAAAAACTGGTTACATCTCAGGAAAAATTCCAAAGCCAAACTGAAACACATCTTCAAGAGTGAATAACCAAGTGAGCCAACTAGCTCAAACTATGGGATATTGGAATCACAAGAAAGACTACCTTATCAAAATGAGTTAAATCTGCGAGAGAATGTAGTGCCATCACACTCCAAAGTGGAACAGTCATCTCGCCCGAAGTTCCAGCAAAAAAAGTCGCACATTAGGAAGAACAAGAAGAAACACCACCTCCAGAAATACAAGGTACATCTGACGCACATTCTTCTCATTATTCTCATGAAATCACGCCACCACCCTTCCCATCAAGGTTGATAAAGCATGATAAAGAGTTAAAGAAAGGGAAATCTTAGAGGTGTTCCAAAAAGTTGAAGTTAACATACCTCTTCTTGAAGTAATTCGACAAGTACCAAGGTATGCTCGATTTTAAAAGAACTTTGTACTACAAAAAGAAATTAATGGGGCACGAGAAGGTAAATTTGGGAGAACATATTTCTATAATTTTCAACGAAAACTCCCCACCAAAGATGAAGGATCAATGTATGTTCATTATACCTTGTAAAATAGGTAATTTTAAAATTAAATGTGCAATGTGTGACTTAGGAGCTTCAATCAATGTTATGTCATTTTCTATTTATAAAATGATTACTAATGAGCCTTTGAAGGAAACATGAATAACCATACAGTTGGCTGATCGATCTGTGATCTATCCAGTGGGAGTAATGGAAAATGTCTTAGTAAAGGTCGATGTATTATTTATTCCTGTAGATTTCTATGTCATTGACATGGAACATGATAGGTTGGATTCTTATCCGAAGTACTCTTAGGTCGACCCTTCCTAAGCACCTCACATACAAAGATCGATGTTAGAAGTGGTATACTGACAATGGAGTTTGATTGTGAGATTTTTGAATTTGATGTTTACAAATCAATGAAATAACCAAATCATGTTGAAAGAATTAATTATATTGATGTTATAGATCTTTTAATTGATGAATAAATTGAATCTAATTTTTCTTATAATCTTTCCAATGATCCTGAACTTTTCCACGAAGAGAAAGGGATTTTGAAATATTCATGTAATCAATTTTGATTTATCTTTACCTTACTCTAAAACTAAATTTTTACCTTC